AAACCCAAAAAGTGACCCCAAACAACCCAAAAAATGACCCCAAACACCCCAAAAGTGACCCCAAACACCCCAAAATTACCCCAAACACCCCAAAGTGACCCGAAACACCCCAAAAGCGACCCCAAACACCCTGAGGATGGCACAGGGATCCCAAAATGACCCCAAACACCCCAAAGTGACCCCAAACACCCCAAAAGTGACCCGAAACACCCCAAAAGTGACCCCAGACACCCTGAGGATGGCACAGGGATCCCAAAATTGACCCCAAACATCCCAAAAGTGACCCCAAACACCCCAAAAGTGACCTGAAACACCCAAAAAATGACCCCAAACACCCCAAAAGTGACCCCAAACGCCCCAAAATTGACCCCAAACACCCCAAAATTGACCCCAAACACCCCAAAAGTGACCCCAGACACCCCAAAAATGACCCCAAACACCACAAAATTGACCCCAAACACCCCAAAAGTGACCCCAAAAACCGCAAAAGTGACCTGAAACACCCCGAAAGTGACCTGAAACACCCCAAAAATGACCCCAAACACCCCAAAAGTGACCCGAAACATCCCAAAAGCGACCCCAAACACCCTGAGGATGGCACAGGGATCCCAAAACTGACCCCAAACATCCCAAAAAATGACCCCAAACACCCCAAAAGTGACCCCAGACACCCTGAGGATGGCACAGGGATCCCAAAAGTGACCCCAAACACCCCAAAAAATGACCCCAAACGCCCCAATATTGACCCCAAACACCCCAAAAGTGACCCCAAACGCCCCAATATTGACCCCAAACGCCCCAAAAGTGACCCCAAACACCCCAAAAATGACCCCAGACACCCCAAAAGCGACTCCAACCACAGCTCGGCCTCACCCCAGGCTTTTATTCCCCACATCCTGCGCCAACCTGCGCACCTCGGGGTTGGGGTACTCGGGGTTCTCGATCACCCCCGGCCCGAATTTGAACTCCAGGAACCCCCGGGGGTCGTTGGGGGCTTTGGCCACGACTCCGGCGAAATCCACGGCGCCCAAAGGCACCAAAAACCTCTCGGGGAACTCCACGTCCTGCCCGTGACCCAACCAGGTGTCCTTGGTCATCACCCCGCCCTGCCGGGGGTAGAAGGGCCAGAGATCCACGTGGAGCCGGTTGGAGCGGCTGAAGTGGACGCGGAAAAATTCCCCCTCGGCCGCTTTCTCCCAAAAAAACCCCTGGGGGTCCTCCAGGGGTCGTCCGGTGGCCGCCACGGCCGCCAGCCAGCGGCACTTGGGGATGTCCTGGCGGTAAAAGCCGACGTCCACGTCGTAGTCC